GAGAGTGTGTGACTGTGCTCCTTTCACTAGGAAACTGTACCGAGAGTGTGTGACTGTGCTCCTTTCACTAGGAAACTGTACAGAGAGTGTGTGGCTATGTGCACCTATTATTAGGATACTGTACTGTGTGTGACTGTGTGCACCTTCCACTAGGATACTGTACTGTGTGTGACTGTGCCTATTTCACTGTGATACTGAACAGTGTGTGCAATATTCTGTGTGACTATGTGCACCTTTGACTAGAATACTGTACAGAGTGTGTGACTGTGCTCCTTTCATTGGGATACTGTACCAAGAACTTGACCGTGTGCTCCTTTCACTACTGTACTACTGTACAGAGTGTGTCACTGTGTGCTCCTTGCACTAGGATGCTTTGTCCTCGCCTTATGTACAGTAGGCTTACGGGTGACCAGCTGTAGAGAGTCAAATTCAATGCAGAGACGTCTTTATCGAAGGAACTTTTCTCGAGCTCTGCAGTGGGCAGGGGCAGTTTCTTGATCAGAGATGCCAAGGTTCGAGTGACTCTGAGGGCTACAGCGCTACCCCAGCCCCCCTTCCTGACCCAGTTTCTCTTCAGATGATATTTCCTGACCCGCAATTGGCGTAGTCTTAGTGTTTATCTTCACCGTGGGGACTGGGCGAGCGGCTCGTTAATGATTGGACTAATGGCTTCATCAGTGCAGTCCAGTGTCGCTGTCCCCTGACCCCTGACCTCTGACCCCTGGCCATGGCTTCTGACCCCTGACCCCTGCGCGGAGAGAGTTGGTGGCGCCATGGGCTGATGGTTGCTGCTGGCTGTTGCAGGGACCCTGCTGATGAGCTTCCTCTGCGCCCTGCTCAGCCCGGCGCTGCAGACGGACTACTCTTGGACCGGCACCGGCACCGAGGGCAGCAACCCGGACAAGCAGACCGCTCCGGAGAACAGTGAGAGGGGAGCGGGGGGCAGGAGGGGCAGGAGGAGAGACTCAGGGATTGGAGGGGGAAGAGAGGTGTGAGACTCGGGGACCAGGGGAGAGGAGGTGTGAGACTCGAGGAGCAGGGGAGAGGAGGTGTGAGACTCGGGGACCAGGGGAGAGGAGGTGTGAGACTCGGGGACCAGGGGAGAGGAGGTGTGAGACTCGGGGACCAGGGGAGAGGAGGTGTGAGACTCGGGGACCAGGGGAGAGGAGGTGAGAGAGACTCGGGGACCAGGATGACAGGGGTAGAGACATGGGGACCCAGGTGGCGGGGGGGAGACCGGTGCCCTCAGCCCTGTGTCTGCCCGCAGTCTGCCTGACGGACGCGGCCTCCTGTGGCTGCTGTGTGATGGAGAAGCAGATGTGGCGCCTGGAGCACTACTTCAACCTGACGCTGCTGGAGCTCAAGAAGGGGCTGGACCAGGCGCAGGCCAGTCTCAACATCATCAAAGGTGCCGTCCCGACCTCCGGGCCCCTCTGTGTCTGCCCACTCTCTCAGTGTGCAGCAGTGTCCACTGACCCCTCATCGACCCCTCGCTGCACCCCCCTGACCCCTCACTGACCCCTCTCTGGGGCTCTCTGTCGCTGTGTCACTGTCTCTCTGTCTTGACCTCTTGACCTCTCGGTGTCCGTCCCTCTCTGCCCCGTGCGCGTGTGCAGAGGTGTCCGGCGCACCCCACTGACCCCCCCCTGCCCCCCGCAGCGAGCCGCAGCGCCTTCTCCGTGGCGCTGACGGACACCCGCCGCTGCCTGGGGCCGGAGCGCGACGAGGTGACGGTGATCTACCAGAGCGTCTTCATCAACCTGGGGGGCGCGTACAGCACGCGCACGGGGGTCTTCACCGCGCCCCAGCCCGGCGTCTACAGCCTGGCCCTCACCGTCTACAGCGACGCCGGCTCCCCCAGCGCCCTGCTGGCCGCCTGCGCCACGCTGACCCGCAACGGGCAGCCCCTGGCGGCGCTGAGCGAGAAGAACAACCAGGACCAGGAGGACAGCGCCACCGTGGTGCTGGCCGCCAAGCTGGCCGCCGGGGACACCGTCGCCGTGCGCCTGCAGCCTGGCTGCTTCCTGTGCGACGACCAGAGCCACTACAACACCTTCTCCGGCTTCCTGCTCTTCCCCACCAGCTAAACTCCCCCCCTCACACACACACACACACACAGCGCCCCCTACTGGCACACCGGCGCCGGTGCACCTGTGGGCGCTCCTGCTCGTTCTGCTCCTCACTGTCTCGTCCCGCACCATCACTGACCCCCCCCACCCACCCACTTCAGTCCACCTGACTGTCGCGACACGCTGTGGCCTGCTCTCCCGAAACACGAGGCTCTTAGCTTCGTTTTTGTCCTCCCCCCCCAAATGATCTCCCGACGTCATTTGGCTGCTCCTGCACAAAGATCCTGGCGTTCCTGGCGGCCACAGACCTGTCATTTCGGTGGCACTGAAAGCCCCCTTCCGTGTCCGCCAGGGAAATTCAAGCCCCGATTTGGAGAAGCGGGCGGTATAGGAGAGCTGGAATTCTGGGTAATGTGGAAACGTTAACCTTCGCGTGGGAAGCCGGAATTGTGGGTAATGTCGTAACACAGTCGGTCCGGAGGTCACCCGGAGCTCTGCTCTTGCACCTCTCGACAGCTCGGCACTGTCCCGGCCTGGTCCTGGTTCTGGAGGGTTGCGGTACCGGCAGGATCTCTAGTCTCTTTCAAAGCACCAGCACCTGAAGCTGACCTGATTGAGGTGGAATGATAGTCCCTCCAGGACCAGGACAGCACAGCTGTGTAGCTCTTTCTGGTTTTGCTGTTGTACAGGTAGTTGCTGAATAGCCCTCTGTGAAGAGAATCAGGCCCCGAGACTTAACCAAAGACAGTTCTCAGCGCACACAGTGTAACCTAAGAACGGCTCAGACTAGGCATTTGGCCTTTTGATTGGTTGGTTGAATCTCATCCAGCTCTTTCTCGAAAGACCCCAGGGTATCTGCTTTGACAACATGGCTGGGCAGCTTGCTCCACGCTCCCACCACCCTTTGTGCAAAGAAGCGTCTCCTGTCCTGACTGAAGGGTCTTATCCAGCCGTTCCTTGAAGGAAACCTGGATATCGGCTTCATCACCATGGCTGGGCAGCCTGTTCCACGCTCCCACCACCCTTTGTGCAAAGAAAGCGCCTCCTGTCCTGACTGAAGGGTCGTATCCAGCCGTTCCTTGAAGGAAACCTGGATAGTTCCACACTCCCACCACCCTTTGTGTAAAGAAGGGCCTCCTGTACTGACTGGAGGATCTCATCCAGTTTGGTTCTTGAAAGAAGCCAAGCTATCACCACATGAGTAATGGGTAATGTGCTCCATATTCCCACAGCCCACAAGATTCACTGTGTCCATGCAGAACAGGGCCATACAGACTCATGCTAAACTACATACAGTACGTGTATATAGGCCCTTTCTGGCCTACACGTACACTGAGACAGACACACAAACTCAGACATGCAGCCACAAACACACTATTCCAGGAGCTCCGACACAGCAGAGGCAAATCTCAGAATATTGCTCTGCCAGCCTCCTCCTGTCGCTAATTTGGTGTTGATCATAATTCTAGTAATTGGCTGACATTAAAAATCAGAATGACTGCAGAAAGAAGGTGGGGTGAGTTTCTGTGCAGAAGTAAAACTGTCCCTCGTGTAAGGAAATGAACACACTGATGTACTGTATTTGTTAAGAAAAAAAGAATCTTGTTTTTATATCTGGACAAGGCATTTCTTTCTCCCTCCTATATTGTCTCTTCCTTCAATAAACCTGCTTCCAGAAATGGTCCCTGTTGTCCTATTCACTGTTAATACACTACTTCAATTTTTAGGGGACAAATTTCTGACGAACCTATACTGTACTTGATCTTAGAGACGAATACTGATCACACATCTAACCCACACTGACTACACTCTGTTCACACA